CCTTAAATTTAGCTACAGCACTATCAGACAGACATCTTGTATAGAAATTTTTGCCCAATGGCGAGTAGTTCAGCAATACAAACTCAAAAGTTATCAAACAGTGGTCGGATAAAGAGGGATTCTGTGGGAACACCACTAAATGTTCAATTTCAATACCATACACCAAAACAATGTCGAGGGTGTGGTTAAAACAGTGAGTCGGTTCATGAACACTCTGAGAGAAGCCAATTTATACGTAGTATGACGACACTTCATTTCACTGTTTGCATAAAAAAAAGTTGTCTTATATTTGGGCCAATGATTTAACTGATGATTTAACAGAAAGACAGAAACGGCAATAAAAAACAACATTCGTTTGTTTAGGCCCCCAAAAGGTAGCTTTTGAAATGACCACATAACAGATTTATCAGCTCTATCACACAGTCCCAGTAGGAACTGAACATTACACACCCACAGCATAGATTTCAAGACTATTGCTTAAATATTTATATGTTATGTTCATTTGTACATTGTTTTGTGTACATTTAGCTTGCATCATGCTTTTGTTTGTGTAATGTTGTCAGACTTGTGTGTTTGTGGCTCTGCAGTGGTGAGGATCAGGAAGAAAAGGGTGTGGTCTGAACAGCTCATTGATTATAGTTGTGTTTAATGACTGCAGTCGTTGTAAATTGAAATGATGGCTGTTGGCTGGAGTTGAGTGGGACTGGAATGTGTGTGCGTGTGTGTGTTTGGGAGAAATAAATTAGAAGGAATGATTAATCTACTATATAAAGTATAATATTGCCTTTGCTAGTTTGCATTTTTGTGTATCACCTGTTTATAAATATATTTTTGTTGCATTTGTTTTTGAATGTATGTTTATGAATTTTCTTACAGTAGACATGCATGTCTTTATATTGTCAGGGGGTTTTGATGTAAATTGCTGCATTGGAAGCCTGAATCAGGCTCTTTTCTCCCTGATGCCTGTATTAATTCTGCGTCCCTCTGGACCAAAATCAGCTTTTCTGCAGGTTTTTCACTGTCAGGCCATTTTACCTGCTGCACAAATGCCGGTAAACCTCTTAAGCCTATTCTGCCCCATTTCTTTCTCTCTTCCCCTCCCAACTAGTCTCAGAGGATTCACCAAAGACAAAGACACAACCTTTCCGGCTATTAGGGCCATTTAGAGATATCCCCATGTCGAACAAGCTTGAGTTATATTGCTGTCAAATGTATTGTGATGCCTGTGATCAGTATTTTTATACTTTATAGTCCCTGTTAGCTGCGGTGCTGCTCAGGGCTTTTAAAGATTTTTAAAAGTAGGTCTTTGGCAGGCCACCTGTCATAAGGATCAGATGATGTCACATGCTAAATTGTGCATTGGTGGCCTCAGCTTTACCACTTTCCCATTGTCTTAAAGTTTTATAAAGGAAAATGCAAGACTTTGAGTCTTTTAGACCAATTAAAATGAAATATTGGCCTATATGTGAAATGAATAAAAGAGTTCAAGTCTGCGTGACAGGCATTTCTTATGAAACATTTGAAGACGTTTAAAGTTAAATTGCAGCATTATTATTAGGAAATTATTAAATCCTGAACTTGGTTTTCCCTCTAAAGAAGACTTGACATTGACAACTGAGTAAACAACGAAGTGTTACAAGTGATGTCCTCATCCACAGTAACCTGGAAGCTGAAATCAATGCCATCCAATGTCTGCATCTGTTCTAACACACGGCAGATTACAAAGTATAAGCATTCTCGTTTCCAAAATCTAAATAATGAATGTACATAACATCCTTTTTGTTTAACCCAGAACATTTGCTGTACATCTCTCAAAAATTTAAGTTTACCTCTCTGGTCTTCTGCTACTGGTTAGTTTGTGTTGTTTTCTGACTTTGGTGTTTTTAACCTTTCAAAACAATGGAGTCTCATGGCTTTGAATAGAGCGAAATAGTGACAGGTTGCTGGTTAAACAAAAAGGATCTTACTCATTTAAAAAAAGGTCTATCTCTGTAGGGATCCTTTCCACCATGTCAGACAGTTGTAATAGCAATTTTCAGCCTGTCAGTGGCAAAGTACCAACGTTACCCTTTAAGTAGATGTGGCAAATCAGGGAGCAGTCAAAGTGATTGATCGTGGAAGATACTGACAGCAACCTATTTCATCCCCAGTGTCAAGTCAGTTCCCTGTTAAAAGATACAACCTGATTGTTAGAACTTTAAATATGAACCCATCCTAACATCTACAATTCAGTGATCGGGACATTGTCCCTTCTTTTGTTATTGCAACACACTTGGACAGTTTTGATTTGGTTATGCATTTCCCCATTCCCCTTAAAGGCAACACATAGGAGACACTTTATTTTCTAAGTAAGCACACAAATGGCGTTCTCTGTCAAATGTGACTGCTCCAAAAAAGCAATAATTGTTACACATTTGCACCCCACATCAGCTCAACCTGGCTGTGGTACCATGGCTACTTTTGTGCTTCTGTACCATGTGTGCTACAGGCGTCAAATGTTGTGATGCTATGCTTAGCGATAAACATGTATTGCACTTGAGTTTTCATCAATGAAAACAACCAAGTCAACCTATAGCCAACCTGTAAGATTAGCCAAGTCTGTCACTCTGTAGTTTCCCAACCATGAACATGACTAGCATGTTTTTTCTATTTTTAGGAATTGACATTGGGTCTCTGGAGTGGTGCCAAGATTTTTTGCCCGTTTGGCATCCGAACAGCCCAATATTTTACAATTTATTTAATAAAATTGGTTAAAAAATTATCTAAGTCCACTTTTGGTTGTGGTCTTCAGCTTGGCCATTGCATTATACTGCCGGGCTTTGCTGTGTACAAGTACCATCTCTCTATCTCTCAATGCACATCCTCCTTCATCTGTCTAGAAACAAGACAGTGGGGACTGTGAGAAAGCTCTATTTTGTTCCTACAGGGCGGAAAAGTGAATGGAAAATGAATTGTGTCTGTAATAAATAATCCTCTTAATATGAGGGAGTTTATTCATGGACAACAGTGGCTTTACAGGAGGTTTTCTTAGCTGAAGGCCAAAACTTTGCTCTGAAGCAGCAGGGTGCATCTCTCTTATACTGAGACACACAAACAGGAAACCCTGATGAAGACAGATTGCAGAGTTATATTTTGAGGGATGAGATAAGGTGAGAGGTGAGCAATGTGTGGGTGTGTACGCTGATGAAACAATTGGAAATATGTTTAAAGTTTTTTATTGTTTGTTTTAATGGTGCAACATACAGTATGTTTTTTGTTTTTTTTACATATAGAAAACAATTTTATGTTTTTTGTGCTATATGTCTCTTTTATTAGTCGACATGAAGTTCACCTAAATCATAAAATAACACATTTTGCCTGGGTGTTTTTTATTAATGCAGATATATTTGGTTTCATTTGCCCAGGTTTTGAAAACTTGTTGTGAGATTTCTGCTCAAGCCACAATGCAATTGAGGTTAATTGAATTTCACATTGGCCCCACTGAAATTTAAAATATCAACAATGTATATAATTATAATCAGCCACAACAATGAGTCAAAAACGAACAGCATAAACTATATACCGCAAAATGTCACAAAAAGGGATTTAAAAATCTTTAATTAAAGTGCAGATAAGAAACATATCAAAGAATGCATCTTAGAAACACTTGTGGTGACTCGGGGCCCACAGACCTCACTGTAAACTACTTGGGGAACTATGGGTTATCCCAAGTGACTGGATGATATTTCTGGAGTTTATTTCAAATCGTGTTTTTCTTAAAGTTCCATTCACCCCCATTGTATTTGGGTGGAAGCAGATGATTCACAGACGGATATCTGAAAATCTCAGCACTTAAAACCAGAAACTATTTGCATGACTAAATATCACTATGACTGAATGGCAAAAATATGTTTTTCTTTTGTAATTTGGGTGAACTGACCCTTTAAAATTGTCCCGCAGGATGTCTTAGTCAACATGTATCATATCTGTGACTCAGGAAAGCAGAGGGCTACACGCTGCGCCAGTATCCCAGCACAGAAAACGTGATGATGGATTGTGCAGCCAGTGGATTTAGTGGTGCTGTAGCATCCAGCAGGTTTGTCGGAGTTCAATTGAACAATGTGCTGCAGAATACTGGAGAGCACAAAGGGCCAGAAACCTTTTCTCACAGGCTAATCTTATACTAACCTGCAAACCATATGGGTGGTGGCTCGCGCGCGTGTGTGTATGTGTGTTTTAGACAAGGAGACAGAGAACATGTGAGAATTTATTTGGCAGAAAAAGTTGTTGGCCTTACGTAAGAGGTCTGAACATTGGCCTTAGGTAAGAACGATGTTCATCCACAGTTATTGCATCAGTTTCACGTAACGCTCTACACATGTTAGGGGAAAGCGAGGTTACATAAGTGTTTTGTTTGCTTTGTGCAAAAGAATATCTGTACTTCAGATATAGAATAAAGTCGTGTTTCAGACATGCATTTGAATAATTTTAAAACTATTCATTACCTACCTCTGGCCTGATGTATTTAAATCTTCTTTCACCTGTATAACCTTCAGCTTTTCTTTGTTATGTGGAAGTAGGTGGAGTTGCATAATTTAATACATAGACTGAAAACCAAATGCTGACACAAGTGTAAAAAAACAACAGTTTGGGTCGGACTGACGTGGAGGTTTGTTTGTCTAACTTTGTAACTTACTATGTAATTTGATACTGATATCTTATTTGATACTATGTTTACATGGTAATAAAGATCTAAAGGAAGAAAGAATAGAGCATTGATACACAGTCATGCAAATGTAGAAAAGGTAATCAATATATCCAGCAAAAATGCCAAACATTTTAAATGTGAGGTTGGTGCTATCGATGCTATTTTGTTTTCTCAACCGATCATAATCAAGATATGGGATCGTTTTAGTCTAAACTATTTCAGTTTATCCGGTGCAGGGTTTTGCACAGATTTTGAACTTTCCATATGCGTTACCTGTATATAATTAAACTGTCTTTTCTTCCCTTTTCAACAGATTGCTTTCTCTCAGCACAACAGCATCATGGACCTGGTGCAGTTCTTTGTTACCTTCTTCAGGTAAGTTTTTCCTCAGTGTCTTATTTACTGTGTGTACTGTGTTTGCTGTGTTTGCTGCAGAGCATCCAGCTGCTCATCTCAGGGCTTTGTTCCTCAGTGGTTCACTTCCCTGAGGCTCTTTGCACAACTGTGCTATAGCCTGAGCACATTGAGTTACAGTAGGTGGCAGCAGCCTCAGGAAAGACACTTTGCCCCCAACAGCTCTTGCAATCTTCTCCATCTGCTCAACAGCAACAAGCAGATGTGTGGGGTAACTCGTAGGTGTGTGAGTTAGGTTGCTGAGAAAGAGCAACTCAACTGATATTTAAAAAATGACTTATATTGCACTCTAAAAATAGGAAATGTGCAAACCAAATTGACAATCTTGCAGTAAACTATGATTTGTTGATGTGCAGGTCAAAAGGAGCTTTTTTAGATGTCAAGGTTGAAAAACCTTGATTTCACTACATTTCAGCATGTACTTATGACCTTCTTTACCCTAAAAATATAGCCATTTATAGTATATGCTGTGGAAACAATGGTGCATTGAACCTTGATCTTAAAAACAAAACAACAACTTACTTTTCAACCAAAATTAGCTCAGTATTGATTAGATTTCTATTGACCTGCAAATCACCAAATTAATGGTCTCAACATCTTTGAACAATAAGTGCATTTTCAGTAAGGTCATAAGAATTTTATACTACAGTTTCTCCTGCCTATTAGCTCACTTTGATCAAAGAAGAAAAAAAAATATAATAATAATATATATATATACCGTAAAACAATTATTGGCCGAGTCCCAAATAGCCGCCTACCTCCTTTACTGGCCTGGTGTGGGAATACATTTTGACAAATAAACGCCTGCCTCCATTAAACACCTGGTCTGGTTTTGTAGAAGTTCTTTGGATGTATTAAACCTCTTAAACCCTGCGGGGTCGCCCACTTTAGCTGCTTCTAAGATGCTTAGATCGCAAGAACACAAACACAAATATTAATGATTAAACGTATGATCCATGTGTCAGTATGGACATGCTGCACATCGTTAGATCCGTTAGATTCTCCACAATTCAGTCATTCAGTTCATTTAACGCAAACAACGAACCCCAAAGTCTAATTCTGAACCTGCATGGTAGGAGAGGAAAGGAAAAAAGTGCTGAATGCCATTACCTTTGAAGCCTCGTTAAGTCCGAATGTGTCCGTTCCTTTATTATTTATCTTCCTTTAGTCTGTAAGAGTCCCCCGATCAGAAGAACAGCTTTTCAGAAAAATGAATCCAAGTTATGAATCCTGTCATGTGAAGTCCTTCACTCTCTGTCAGCTAACTTCTGCCACACTTCTCTCATCCTGCACCCTGTTGTTGTTTCGTTAGTTGCTGCCTTCAAAATAAAAGCGCACAAGCCGTCTGTCGGAGCTAGATCAAATGAATGACGTGTATTTGATATTATTTGATCATTTTTATACAAGTATTATTCTGTTTGTTTTGTGCAAAAAAGTGCCTGTCCTATATGGACGCCTGTCCCAAATATAGGCAGGGTCAATTCAGTGATTTTAGCAAATAAAAGCCCGGGCTATTATTCAAAGTTTTACGATGTGTATATATTAGAAAAAAACTAGACATTATCCAATGAAACACAACCTAACGTCACCCTAAGCAGTGGGTTAGCATTTATGATCATCATATTTATCATGTAGAAGAATTTTAACTAAAATATATCCCCAAAGACGGTTCAGACAGAACACATGGCAGATTTCAGAGATGACGCAGTTGCATCCGAAGTTAACGGAAAGACACGATTAGCTCCAGGGCAGCGCGACCTGATGCAAAGATGCAAGTTTCAACTTGCGAAAATTCACACTAGAGAGTAAAAAGAGAGAGGCTGGAGGGAAATGAGCCGGCAAACAAACTCACACGGACAGTTTTACAAATCAGTAAAAAGCAAACGTTTCTTAATACAATGGCAGTGAATGTTTTTGTTTTGTTTTTCGCTTGTGGTGTGGCAGAATCAGATGTTTTCCTGTTTGTCTCTGTGATGCATGCTGTTGTGTGGTGTTTGTTTAAGTAGTATTAATACTTAATAAGGTCTGAATAGTAATAGCTTAAAGACTCATCTCCATAATTTCCACACACATCAAACCAAACAGTCAGACAGAGCAGTGAATTTTTTTGGAGTGGGTGAGAGACGTGTATGTTACTGCTCGTCATGCAGACAGGCAGTGGATATAATGAGAGAGTGTTTTGGAGGAAGAAGTCTGGAACGAAGTCTGCTGTCTTCAGGCAAGATTCTGCCACTCAGCTACGACACCGGACAAGTGTGTGTTTGTTCGGTGCGAGTGTGTACGTGCGCGTTGTTTCCTGTACGTGTACATGTGCGTCCCCCTCACTGTGTGTCCGTGCTTGTATATGTGCGTGTTGGTGTGTGTCACTGTGCTGCCATGTGTGGAAAGTGAGCCATTTGTGTGCCCACGGCCGGCTTCCGGACATCAGCGACCTTTAGGCCAGCATAGAGGGATGATGTCATCAGTAGGGGACAGCGTCAAGTTTTGCCGGGAGAGTTGGTGTTGCTTGTGTGTGTGTGTGTATTAGTCACTGCTCTGTTTATGAGTTGCTCTCTTCTGCACTGCATCAGACTCTCAGTGAGAAAAGGTTATGTGCTACATCTACAGGACTTTTTTGTTGTTGGTTTATTTGCTGCCCTTATTATACAGTATAAATGTAATTTGCATGTTTTTTTTTTTATTAATGTCCTTTTACATATATAAGAGCAGCATTACCATAATTAAAAAAATGCTCAATTAAAAGACAATGCTTTTAAATTTGTATTCTTAGATGCGTCAATCAATATTTTCAATGTTAACACAGAATCAAACAAAAACAGCTGTTCAAAGCCTCTTTTAGCTCAAAGTTTTGGCTGTACGGTATATTAACTGTATAGTTCAGTCTCACCTTACCGCGTAAGGCCCGTTTCCAGCAGCAACAGGCAGCTGTTTTCAGCAAACAAGCTCTAATAAACCCACTTTACGCTACCAGCCCCGCACCAAATGGCAAACAAAGTTAATTGGCGCTTTCACACTATGCCGGTATTGTATAATTGTACGATGTCAGTGTCAGGGATTATGCCGCAAACGTCGGTTCACTATGAATTAGTGAATGCGGCATATTGGCGAATATTCTTTCCGCGTGTATGGCATTGTATTGTGTATCTGTATAAAAGGGCCTCATAATTAGCTGGTGAAGAAAGTGGTAAATAAAGGAGTTTTTGGAAGGCAAAGTGGAGCTAAAAGCAGACTGAAGTTGGAGTTAAGATCAATAACTTTTTGCTAAAACATTTACCATACATTTTGCAGCTTTAGTTCTGCTGTGGGGAACTTTTGTCTCCACCTTCCGATTGTGCGAGTATAAAATAAATATAAAAATGCTGAGTTGCTGCTGTCACCGTGGTTGCGCCCCCTTCAGCTCTAGCTGCCAAATCATTGCTGGGGTCACTACCGGTGTGCCAGCGTGGGATTGTCGCCACAGACGATCCGATTTAAAAGCTCTGGTATACAAAGAGATTTACCTGTTGGTGATGGGGTTTTTCTGTCAATGGATATTTAAACTATATGTCAGAGATGCAGACGTATGTATGTGTGTTTGTGTGCGTGTAGGTCTACATCACATAGGTGGGTATGTGTGTGTCTTTTGGCTCCACTGTGCTGGTGGGGTCAGGAGCTCGAGTGCCGAACTGCCTGAGTCATGACTCAGTGTGTGTTTGGCTGTAGGCAGAAGGCACAGTGATGAGATGCAGTCTGGCACTGGGAAGGAAGAGAAGAGGGAAGATATGCAGCAAACATAGAAAAAAGCAAAGTGATTGAAAGGAGAGATTGGCGATCTCGCTTTATTGTCTGTCGACTAATGTATCTGTCTCTGTGTCTGTCATCAAGCAGATATGATTGGGGTTTTTTTTTATTGCTTTTGGGGGCTTTTTATTGTCTTTACTAGATAGGGACTGCTAAAGAGAGACAGTAAAGATGGGAGAGAGAGAGAGAGAGAGAGGCGATGACATGCAGCAAAAGTCCCGGGCCGCTGCGGTAATGACTTAATGTATGGTGCAATGGATTGACCAGGTGAGCTACTGGGGTACCCAGGAAAATATGTTTGAAGGGAACATAACCAGGCCTTAGTTAAAAAAGCAAAGAAATATTTACATACAACGCATCAGCAGTGTGTTGACTGTCAATGTGTTTTCTCACAGCATCCTCTGCTAGCAACTAAAGCACGATTCACATTTGTATAATTACTGGATGTTTAGGCCAGTGTTGGGAGTAATATGTTACACAAATACCGCAGTTACAGTAAAGTATTGCTCTTTGCTGTAACGCAGTAATATAACGCATTACTAATCACATTTCGGTAAAATTAGACCTGTTAAAATCTGTGAAATTTTGAGGGGAACATTAAGATTGAGGAAAGATTGTGGTGTGGGTTAAATATTGAGTAGTTACATTTCCTCCAAAATCCGTTTGCGTCCATTGTTGATTGAACGATTTGTAGCTACGTTACTGATACTGCCGTGTAAATAACTACAAAGCAAAACATTTGAACACGAATGGATGCTGCCAGGGTTAAATAGGAGGGCAGAAAAATAATCAATTTAAAAAAGCTGCAGTCATCATTTAGTGTTGGGGTTGTATAATGACACAGTTTTAAGAATATGCAATGCTGTAACAGCCCAGAGGACAATCTATAAGTCTATATGTGTTTTATTAACTGTTGACTTTTTTCTTTTGTAAAATTGGGCCCAGCTGCTTAAAGTTTCTACTTCCTATGTCTCCCTGATTAGCTGTGAAAGCTCCTTCCACAAAGATTTGGAAAAATTTGAAACTCTCCTCCCCTCCCCTTCCCGTCCCTCCGTTCATCCTCCTCATGTATTCTTTCTCATCTCTAAGAAGCAGAGGAGAAAAAGGAATACGGCCATAATTAAACAGCGTTTATGTCTCCGCTCTCCACAGTCTCAAATGCTAATTGGTGACACTGCAGT